GTGATGTGTTACATGTTTCATGTTATTACAAATTAAATTCTGATTCTGTTAAAAAATTTTCCTGATGTAGCCTGTTTCCTTAGTTGTCTTTAGTGGTAATATTTAGCATTACTTAACATAACTTGCGGGTAATATGTTTCACTTTGTACAGCAACAGTAGTAAGCTTTTGCTTATGGCCTCTACTTTGCCAGGATGTTTCTGCTGATGAGAGATCCAAGAAGTTTGGGAGGATTTTAAATGTAGTATTCATGTGTGTATTCTATTAAGCAAACATTGGAAAATGTTCAGATGTGTCAAGCTGAAGATCCACACAATACTCTGATGTTTGCTGCTATGCAGTTTCTTTATCAGAAGGAAGTCGCCCTGTGGGTATGCAAGGGCGGCCAAGTACTTTGGCTTGAAAATCCAAATAGTGAATAATTGAATATTATGACCAGTTGACAATATTTGATGAAGTAATTGTTATCTGTTGCTTATTGGTAAATCCATACACTTTTAATTTTTAGGGAGGATATGCATATATTGACCCATGTGGGGGACAGGATTGTTCAGTTTGTCGCTGCTTTCCAGAAAAAGGATCAAGAGTAAGTGATGATTAGAACTAATGCTAATTACTGTTATAAATACTTTGCACATTGCTGCTCTTTAAAATCAATATGGTTGACACAAATCAATAAATTAATATTCAGGCATAAACAAGTCTTAATATAGCAAACTATTACAATTCTCTTACTGGTATGATGTACTGCTATAATCAAAAGAAGTTAAGATGGTAAACAAGTTTGTAAATGAGGTTTGTAATAATCATGTTGCCTTTCTTGTGTTAAATGTCCTTTGAGATCAATCTAGTAGTTAGACAAAGGTTATTCTTAAAATATTTTAACTTTAGAAATCTATGCTCATCTACTAAGAGGTTGGGTAAAAGAGAATGTCTATGCCATTTACTAGTGTTATGAGAACTTAGGTGTTTCCTATTCTGGAAAAGCTTGCAGACCTTTTATTTTACTAGCTTAATACACTAAGTCTTAAAAAAAAATAATCTGTATTGTCTTTGCCTTTTAAATAATCCTAAAATATTGAATGAAGCCAAGGCTTTTTCATGTTATACACTAAAATTAGTAACCCTGTATGTTGCTATTTGTTAAATGAAATTATGGTTCAGTGCTAACTATTTTATCCTGGCTGTTGTTTCTCAAAATACATATATATATATATGTATATGTATATAATCACAGAATCATAGAAACATATATATAGTGGTAGCAAACAATTTAAATATTATCTGAGTAGATACATGCCCTGATTAGTGAATACCTGAAAAAATGTAGGTTAGTGTTGGAATTTGTTTTCTTTCAAAGTACTACTGTTAAAGTTTAGGGTTAGAAATCTTGAACATGGTGGATAAAGTTTTGGAAGAGCTGCATGCCCCTTTTGTTTGTGTACAACCTGAGTCACCACAAAAGTAAGACACACCTTTTCCTTCCTGTGCTTCTGCTGTTGGCTGTGTGCTTTGCTGTGTCATGATCACTGCCCTGGTGTCCTCAGATCCTATCCTAATCCTCTAGGATTATGGGTATATTAAAGACCCCCATTGCTGTAGGATTTTCATAATAGGGGCCTAGGATGTGTCTATCTCTGTAGCACTGTGTTAACAAAAGGGCATCCCAGGAAAAGTATTTTGACTAGCAGCACTGTAGTGTCTCAGTGGTAATGAACAGACTGTTTTGAATACAAAAACCTGATCTAAAGTGCCATTTAAAAACAACTGACGTTGAAACTAGAGGAAATTTCCCTGATTCTGGTTCTCTCTCAGTAGCCTGGAAATTATGAATTACATGCCCCTGATCAGTCAATAATACTCACTGCTCTTTCCTAAACTGTCCTCCCCACCACAGGTAAACTGAACTATGATGCATGCATTTGCAGTTAGTTTTCTAAATTACAAAGATATGGACCTAAGTAAGTGCCAAATAGAAGTGTAATAAATATTTCAAAATAAATTCAATGTCATTTTGAAAATGTAAGTCTGAGAATTTCTTGAAACAGCTGTGAAATAAGTATGCACACTGATGTATAAAGTCTCTCCAACCTAATATGAGTTTGTCTCATGCAGTCATTTCTGTTAACCAGTATGCAAGAAATAGAAGTACTTATCAGACCCTACATGAAATACACCTTACCTAAATACCACTTTAGATTGTTGCAAATATTTTCTATACTAATATATGGTGATGAATTAGTTCTATAGAATCGCTTTATCTTTTTTTTGTTGTTCTGCAACCCTGTTGATTTCTAAACTTTGCTGTGTTCTGCCTTTACACTCTGACACAGTGACTTTTCTTTCTTTGCTTTTGTGGAGACTACCCATTACAAAATAAAGAATTTGTTTATCTTACTGTTAGCTTCCTAGAATGCAAACCAGCTGCTTTATCGCCTTTGCTGTCTGAATCCTGCTTTTGGGCTGGTTTCTCAGAGTTTTGCATCTTCCTCAATTCTGTCTTTGAAGTGCAAGAAATAAATGATCATTGAAAGCCTCTGGCATTGTACAGTGTGCAGGCCTAAAGTTTCAGAAGTGTACAGTTTATGAAATAATCCTTCTTTGTAAAGAAGTTGTGATAAGACCAATGTTATATGTTCAGTTGCAGAGCACTGTAATTTTTCCCTTTCCACTATTTAGAACAGCTCTGTCAAAATTAAGGGTGAGCTAATTCCCTCAGCAAACATTTGCTGAAAGCACAAAAAATTCTAGAAACTTCATGTACTTGCTGGCAAAAGGCAATGGAACATTAATCACATCCAGACCAGCTGGAGGGCCAACCTTATAGCAGCCCCCAAGGTTAACAAGTCTTTATTCAGCTCTGTTAAGCCAACTGCAGTACCAGGGGCTTTTGCAGAGGCTGAATAAGGAACGCAGTATCTGAGTGAGCTACGTCAGAATCGTTGCTTTGATATACATAGAGCAGTCCACCTTAATTTTTTTTGTTTGCTTATCTTTTAATCTTTTATACCACAGAGAGTTAGATGTAGGTTATTCCCTTCATGATCTTCCACTGAACATAGCCATCTAAAACTTGGAGGGGAGCAAGGGCAAATTGTCTCATTATTGTACTCCTGAGGTATTATCTGTGTTAGAAACATGCAAGGTCAGACCTATTATGAATTGATTAAACATGTTATTCAGAGTCTTTCGAGAACTGCAACTAAATCCTTCATTAGACTAGCTGGAACATGACCATTCACTTGTTAGTCAAATACTTCCAAATAGAGTTCCAGTTTCAATGGAAAGTTTCTATTAACTTCTATCTCCCCTAAAAAGTGCACTGAGGAAAAAGCTATTCAGCAAAGTACATTATTTGTAATACACCTGTTGGAATGCATAGGAAGTACATTATTTGTAATACACCTGTTGGAATGCATAGGAATTATTATCCATACAGAAGATGATTGTTGTCTCATGACAACAATGTACTAAACAGATGTCATAGGTCCAACTTAAAGTAATAGCTTAACATCTGAATAAGTACCTGAGCAGTTTGTTTCACACGGTCCTAATTTTCACTTCCCTATGTCCTTCTCCACACACTGATGAAAAGGAGATTTTTCGGGAAGTCAGAATATCTATCTGTTGGTAAAACAGCAGTTGTACAGTATCAAAGTTAAGGTGTGACCATCTGATAAGGGTTTCACTTTGTCAGCAGATTGGGAGGAAAATATCGTTGCCAGTTTCATTTGAGGGGTTTTTATTTATGTATAAAACACTATGACAGGTATTTGATGACACTGCCATTTTACAGATTGTAGAATGTTACCTTCCTTTTTAGACTTTCAGTGGAAGCACTGCCCACTGGAAATTTAGCTAGTAAAGTAAACAAACAGGTTATTTCTGTTTGGAGAAGGCTTATTAGTCAATCTATAAGAAATATTTATACTAAAATTAAGGTAGAACAAAAGTCTTAGAACCAATATAAATCAGCTTTGTTTATTTGTAATTACCAGTGATGAATTATGTTCACATTTTGTAAAATTAAAAACATTGTAAGCTGCATATGACATAAGTGTAGCCCTTATCCTTAGCATCTCTCCACTAAAATAGTAAAAACCTAGGATAATAAGAGAATAGACACCTAAAATTAAACTCTTATTTAGGTTTATGAATCACGTAGAGTGACTGTCAGGAGTGTAGTATACTCTGAAGTTTTCATAGGAAAGATGGACCTTAAATTTTTCCCTATGGTCTTTGGCATAATGACTTTTCTATTTTTTATATTTTTTTAATGCAGTTTAAGCATGACTAGTTAAAGCTGTGGTTGCCGGGACAGTGTACAAAATCTGTGCAACTGAGTGTGAGTGCACGGTAATTAAGACTTTGCCTTCCAGTTGCACTTTTGAAAAACTGTTAAATGCACACACAGAAAGCCTTCTTCGTTGTAAGTGGACAAGATAATTGAGGTTGTAGCTAGAGAAAATACGACCATGGGAATATGAAAAGGAAACTGTTGCGGCCATACTTGAATGTATTGAAATTGGGCAGGTTGGAAGAAAAGTAGAAGCAAATACCTGAACTTTTATTTAAGATTTCTATAAACACGGTATACTTATGGTTGCTATATTGGCTCTTAGAAGAGCTTGTGTACATGTCATTTTTTATTTCTCTCAAGCTTAGATAACTGTGCTATAGACAGATTTGCACTACTGTTCATTAGCAAGAAATCACTGTCTGAAAAACAGTCTAGTCACTATTGCTAGCAGTATATCCCATTCGGATATCATTACAGTTGTCCACATCACAATGGAACTTCAGCTTCCGTTTAATTGGGATTACAGCCCTGTTAGAATTAGATTTACATTATGCTATTTATCTTTTGATCTGTGTCACAGCTCAAAAAGACTCTTTTTTCCATAGAACTTGGAAGACTTCCATGGACTCTTTCTTACATAGGACATATCAAAATGTGTTAAGACTCTGCATGTACTGTGTGCATTTAAAAAAAAAATGGAACAGATAATGAGGGGAGAAAGACATCAGCAAAAGTTTATATGCCAATAAGCATTCTACATATTTTTTAGTGCCAGTCTGGACCAATTGGTAATTTCTTCTGCCTTCTCTTTCCCAGTCAGGATGTATGGTTTTCCAGTAGGCGGTAGCAATGTTTTTAATTAGAGGCAAAGAGCAACTTCATGATTTTAGATTTTTTTCATCTCTTCCTCTTAGGTCTCCCATAAAGTCCATGATTGTAATTTTCTCCTGATACATCCAACAGACAGTGAAAACTTTCCTCCATTTTCTCTACTTGGGAAGTCATTTCCTTGATAACTCCTGTAGTGTTGTGTCAGAGACATCACAAAATGCTGGCTGCTCTAACAGAATTCAGATAGTTAAAAAAATGTTTGCTGTTAGCACCGACGGATTGTAAACCTGTCCTGTGCCGACCCCGGAGTCTGATCCCATTCAATTCCTTTGGCTTTGTTTATAGAGTTAAGTAGATTTAAAAAGCGAGCATCTATTCATGACCCAACCTGATCTAGCTTCTATGAGATCATGTGAAATGCCTGGAGGCTAGTGAATAATAAATATAAGTCAGCAAGACCGTTCTTTTGCAGATGAAGCGAATGGCCTATTTTCATATTAGTGTAGGAGAGAACCTAGCAAGCAGAAATCTAAGAGGAAGGTCTTCCATTTTCTGGCATATGAGGTGTAAGGAGTAAGAATTCACAAGAGATGCTAAGTCAGTTGTCACAGGTAAGTTAGAAAATCAGCTGATGTGTACTTCAGGGCAGCGGGGTAAGAGCAGTGAAATTTAACAGTATAGTAGACATACCATCTGGCATCACATCTGTCTAGTAGATCCTGTGGGTTAACTGAGTGATTTACAGCACAGAGTAAATGTATTTAATATTCACTAGCTGAGAAACTGTGCAAATTCTGTCTGGGGGAGTAAGAGGCATTTATTAAATCATACTTTTTTGCATGTCAGTATGCAATGGCAGTCTGTCATGCTCATGGAATATCCAGCACTTGTATTTGAATTTTCAAGCTACACGCTCAGGAAGTGAATATGTAAAATCCCTCTAATGATCTCAAATGCATATGCTTAGTTGACTCACTATCAGAGATGTAAACACACTAGCATCTGAGGAAAGCCAGATCTCTCCCACTGTTTGCCTCATACCTGTTGATAATTTTTCCCAGTACATTAGCTATGATACAGTTTTGAAATAGAAGATTCCTGAAACAAGTTATACATTGCATTTCATTCACATTTTCTGAGAACCATAGAAGAACAGACCTAGAGAAATTAGACCCCTAATCTATATCTGAAGCAGACCGTAAGTTCTTATAACTGGTCAAAATAGTAGGCAGTTCTATGGCCCCAGGAGTTAGGATTTGAACTTGTAGGGAATGAAGCCTGCTTACCAGAATGTGGAGTAGGAACAGGATCACTCCGATGTCCTCACTGAAAGGTCTTTCTGAAGCTGTTCTTCATGTACAATGTCCAGCTACAGCATCTGTAAATTAGCATTTTTCATATTAGACATATTTCTAATTTTTTCTTAAGTTTTGATCTTGGTAAATTATCCTTCCTTTTGTTGTTGAGCATCTTTCTTTCTGTAATACTTTTGGTACCCTGTCCCACTATACTAAAACAGTGTTTTTCTTAGCTGCTTCACATTGGCAAGCTTTTGGACATCAGGCAAAATCAAACTACAAAATCATTTTTCTTTGTAGATTTGAATCAACCAAATGTTACCACACAGTGACTTGTTTCAATAAAATGAATTAGATCAAAATTTTATTTTATTTTATTTTATTTGCTAATCTGATGTTTATTATTTGTGGTCTAAAGTGGTCTATTTGCAGCTCTCTGTTTTCAGCCATTAACAGTGTTTCTTACAGTTTCAGTGCCAAATTAGCTGTTGTTCAGTGTTTAACACAATAGTGACACCCACTGGCTTGTCGAATACTTTTTCTTTTCATGATTTCACAGAGTTGAAACAAAAGTGCACTGTAGAAAACGTTTTCAGCACTTCACTGTGAATACATCTGCATCAGCAGGTACTATATTCCTGATGGATCATTGAGTAGGATAAAAGAACACAGAATTTCCCAGTAGTTTGCAGCATAATAACAGATGCCAAGAAGAGTCAAGGACTAAGAGTTACTATTGCATTTAATCAGCTCAAAATCTGACTATAAGAAGGAAGTTATCCAGTACTGAAAAATCATTATATTATCTGCTGTTTCTGAGCAAAGTGAAAATAAAGTACATGCCATATACTAGTCTGACCTTCACTCACTGTTTAACCCACTATCATAGAAAAATTTGCTCTGTTACGGACAAGAAGTAGATTTAATACCAAGTTGTGTCCTTTTGCAGATTTATCTCATGTTCATAAAGTTAATACTGAGAAGGTTTATTTTGGAGTCTTGACTTACAGTGAAAATGGTTTTGGTTCCAGTCCCACACAGTTACAGTGGAGGAGTGGAACTTCCCAGAATGGACACTCCTACAAGCCCTGGAAGCTGTGGCTTTGCTATGTAATAGACCTGCTCTTCCAAAAGGGGAGAGGACATGGGTGGAGCTTAGAGTTGCAGCAGATGCTCCTACCTCACTAAGCAAATTACTAAAGAAAACATCTGTCTGCAAATGCCTTTGTGTGCCCTCCTCTTTTGCCCTCAAACTGCTCCACTTTCCTCCCTGTTGCTGCCCTGCTTCTGATAAAATGGGAAAGACTGGTTACAAGCTGGAGCCTAGTACAGAATGACAAAGGGTGTTACATTACTTGCCTACAATCTGATTATGTGGAGTTGCTGGGCATTTTCAGTTTTGTTCATGTGAACAGAAGGTAAGTGCATTTCACGTATCACTTGTACATCCACATAGCCTGTAACATAGGGTACTGTCCTAACTGAAGGCTTGTAATTGGACTTCTTTCAACTTTATCAATAACAAGAAACAAGAATTTACTTTAGTATCATTAACTTTTTTTCCAACCCCCCAGTTAAGAGCCCTTTAAAATATTATTCTCTCAGACAGTGCTCAGGGCACTCAAAAAATCAGGTGCTCTTCAGTGTCTTAGACAACCAAAAAAAAAAGTAATTCCAAATACCCTTGGCCATTGCCTTTTCCAAAGAGTATTAAATACTTTCCTGCATGATCTTAAAGTATTTGCAGTCTTAGTCTTAGGAAGCATACTTAATTAAAAAAAATACAGTCTTGTTTTGTCAAAAGTCAGTTTCTTACTGCAGGTCAAGCCCAGGATGTGCTAAAATAACAGACCATAGTCTTGGCATGGGTAGTTCCTGACCTAGACAATTAACAAGGCATTGAAATCCTAAAGGAATTTATTGGCATCAGATGGCAGAGCAGGCATAATATTCTGTTCATTTTAACTGAGTTAATTTGTCATTTCCACATGAGCATGACTACCTTCATCCTCTTTATTTGTACAGCTGTCCTGAGACTGTAATGCTGTCGTAGACACATTGGATGGGCACAAATAATAGATGTGATAATAGATGTTATGACATGGTATCAGTTTGGTCTTAACAAAGCTCCCAGTCATTATCAGTCTTTGAGCTGAAAGAGAGAGAGACAATCCACCAGCTTCACATGGCATGCTAAAGTTGTACCAGCTGTCAAACCTATTGTGAATTCTGGATTCAGTGACTCTGTTCTATGACTTCACTACCTCCTACTGAAGACATAAACTGTGGAGTCAATTAAATTCACAGGGTCAACTAACAAAGCCATTTTATCAGCCTAAAGGACTACATGTCCTGGAAGTATTGATTAATTATGACAGATAATTAACATAGAATTCATACAGTGTCTCAGCTTTTTTTGATTACTATCAAAATCATGTTCCTCCAACTGTCCAATGGATAGAACATATGATTTTTTTCTTTCAACTCTTGAATGCAGAACATATGCACTGTGAATTAGATATCAAAGTTGCTGCAGAAACTTGTCAACAAGTCACACTGTTAAGACAAAGGCATTAGAGAATTAATAAGAAACATCTTATGCAAGTATTTTCCTGCTGCTGAATGTTGCATTTTTCATAACCACTAGTTCAGTGTACTAAAAAAGGTACTGCTTCCAGTAGAGTGAATGACCCAAACTGTTGTATTTTGCAGTGTTATTAGTCTCATTCATTTCACTTTTCTTATACTCAACATTATGCTTTAATTAAAAAAATGGTTGTTCAGACATCTTTTTATCAAGTATTTAAAGGGTGTAATAGCTGCTTTAAGAGTACTTCAATGAATAAATTCAGGTTTACAACAGAGGATGTGCAAGGCACTGCCAATAGACATGCTGCAATTGTTCATGCAAGCAAATACTCAAACACCCAGAATCCTGATTCATTGTTATCAAGCATGCAGAATTAGCAGATTTCAATAGTAGTACCCCTTAATTTGCATAATATTTTACACTGCTGAAATTATGGTATTAAGAAAATAGTAACTTGCTGAAGGCAGCATGCTGATTCTGCTCTGGAATTTTTACGAGTGACTTCACTGGAAGCAGGATTAAGGTTTAAGTGAGAGGAGACAGTGAAGAAAAATGGAACATGAATTGTATGAGGATACTTTTTCAGGGACTCCTTATTTGTAAGTGTACGACTTCTTTTCCCGGACTCTGGACTAAATTCCTGTTCATAGCTTCAGAGCCAGTGGTGATCCAGTCCTGCTTCCAGTACAGCATAAGTATGTTTCTGTTCCAAGCATATAGTAAGTTACCTTATTACTCTGCTTCTTTGCTGATTTTACTGAATGATGCATACCATACATTTCTTCATGTCCAGCTGTAAAATCACACTGATTATATTGACATATTTGAAAAGACAAATAGAAAATAAATAAAAAGGAAAAAAGATTTAGGTCCCTGCTTATAATTCAAAAGGTGAGTTTTTATTCAGATTCAGTCTGTTGGGAGTGTTCACACTGCGAAGCAAGCAGTTAAATTATGTTGAAGCAACAGAACTGAATTCCTGAAGCTAACATATCTGCTTACAATCACCTTTGATGTCTGTCATACTGTTTTCCTTCAACCCATTCATAGAAACAATCATTATGGTCTCTCATTTCTATGAATGGAGGTTGTACTGAAGTATCTTTTACTGCCCTCAAGTGGTCTTAGAGCCATATGCGTTTCTCGGGACTGCATGGGGCTCCATTTTGCTCTCTTTAATACCATAGTATAATTGATCGATGAATTCTGAAAAGAAAACAAAACACTCTAGAGATGGTAAATAAAAGAAGCTGTAACTAAACAGAGATAATGATACAAAATAAAAAAAAAAAGATGAGTAAGAGAAATAAAGATTTGTAAATGCATAGATTTTTGTAGGGTAAAAATGCAGACAGCTTACATGTGAAGTCTGTTTAGAAAACTTGCTTTATTCAGCACTTTGGATCTATGATTTAATAACTGCTCAGCACAGAGCAAAGGCTGCAACAAATTCAAAACAACTCCAGAGCAATGCTATAGTCTGAAAAATCTTGGAAGAGTGCATAGAAATCCATGGGGATGGTCAATATGGTACTGTAGGTACAGCTACACAATTTAGAGTTATTTATAGATAAATTACATTCTGCATCCTCTCAAATAATTCTGACTATTAGAATTAATACTTTCTGAAAATATGTTGTTTAATAGCTATTATTTTTGTGTGCAGGAAATTTCACAACTTCTAAGTAAGGCATTCAGATCTGAGAGCAATGATGGAAGATCAGTAAGCTAAAAACCCAAGATAATTAGCATATAGTCTGACTTAAGAGAAAGAGGGAACTCTCTCAATTTGTTCTAATTTTGTACAAACTCCCTGTGTCTAAAATGAGCCACCACTTTTCTGGTGGCAAATATAGGATGCTCAGTGGAATCTTATGCTTGCAGAAGGTGATACGTTGATAGAGTCAGGAAGACTTGCAGTTTAACCCAGGCATCTCAGGTGGTGCTGGAGATCTGCTGAAGATGAAAAGAAATTATCACCTGGAGGAAGTTGTTAAATTTTAAGGTGGTGTTCCTAGAGCATCTAATGAAGGGCACAGATCTGCAGACTATACAACCAAGCTGTTTTGAATCAGTACATTATAAGCCTTGTTTTATCCATACAGTCACCTCTGAAATGCTGCCTGCTGCAATGTTTACAGCAGTGGTCATTCACTTTTGACTCTTTTCAGGGTCAACCTGGTGAGCTGGGAGCTCAAGGTCCGATTGGGTCCTTGGGATCTACAGGACCAGCTGGTCTGCCAGGGGAAAAAGGACAGAGAGGTGAGACTGGGCAACCTGGGCCATCTGGAGAAAGAGGTGATAAGGTAGGAAACACCATAGACAGCTCTTTTAGGTGTATACAGTATGTAATGTTAAATATTGGCAAGTGAAATAGAACCTGAATGATCAAAAAGCATTTGCCAACTATACTCTTGCTCACACAAAACTCTCACTGAAATTAATTTACAAAATTAAATAAATTAAAAAATCTTGAAAAATTGTTTCTGGGGATTTTTGCTGTTGATTGCAGAGTTAGAATTGTTAGAAGACAAAAATAAAATGAAACAGACACAGTCTATATTGTTATATGTCATGTCATACTCATTAAGATCCAAGAGGGCTGTGGGAGGAATGTGGAGCTGGAGGGAGAAGTATGATGCTTTTAAATGTGCTGTACACTAAACAGAATTTTATTACCACTTAGGGAGTATAAACTGCAGTTCAGATCCATATCTTTCATAGCGGTACAGTCCCTGTCCTTGGCTCTTGGTACTTTGTATTATTTTTAATGGTTTAATTTCACTACTCTCAGTAGATGACTGAAATCACTAATGAGTGTATCTGGCACACCTGAAATCTGAGTACTATAAATTGTGCTCTGATATTATCAAAGCAGGAACAGGGTTTTGGAATTACGTACAGAATTACTTTATAAGTTAAAGACTACTTCTGCTTCTCTGTCATTTTATAATCTTTGGAGAACAAATGAGTATGAGATAAACATTTGTCCTGCACAGTACCATCTTTTACATGGGTATCTATTGTCAGTAGTCTTCTATAAGCCCATAAAACTTTTTTCAGATATTTATTACTGAGAATTACCACTTTTGATTCATATTTCAAACAAAACTGTTTCTTGGGTTTTGCTATCAAGTATCACATATTCTCATTTTTCATTCTTTTTAAGAGTTAATGACTTCAGCACCTTTGTTTTTTCATATCATCTGTTTTTAGGGCCCAACTGGAGTCCCAGGATTTCCTGGTTTAGATGGCATTCCTGTACGTATTGAATGAATATTGCTTTATAAAAATTAGAATTTTTATAAAGTCATAGCAAGCCCTCTAAGAGAATAAAACTCAAAATGTTTGGCTTTATACCTATCAATATAGTGTCACCTACAGAATTGCATGTTTAACAAAAATGTAAAATAGCCAGGTTAATTCCAACTGGCTGCTACTGATAACAAACTCCACAAAATAGCAATGAGGTAAGTACATAATACTCATGCAGGAACAGGGCAGTGCAGATAGAGACTAGCCCAAGTGCGTGCAGCATGGGGCAGTGCTAGGATTAAAAACAATTTTCCCAAGCTTTATAGCAGGCTGTAGTCTGCTTACTGCAGTCTTAATATCTCTGAAAGTATCTCAAATGATGTACTGTTTTCTGTTCAGACATTCTGATTTTTGTTTGTAGTCTTTCTGCAGTGAAAAAAAAAAAAGGCAAAAGCTGAGTCCAGTATTTTTTCCTGAATAGGCACTGAGGAAGGAAAGTGAGTCCTAAATATATCTTTATAAGCATGTGATTATATATTTTTCTGAATGTCTTCTTCAGTGAGGAAATGGGTATAGTAAAAGAAAAATAATATCTCTTAGCTACAGTATTTTTGAAAACACTATTTATTAGAACTGAATTCTTAAGCTGTCATTAGTTTCATGTGGATCACTGTTAAAATACTGAATTTTCAAACTTGAAAAACAGAACCAAAAACTGCGTGGGTGTCTCAGCAGCTGCTTGTCAGCCGTCCACACTTGGCAATGGGACTGCCACTAGAATGTCTGTAAAATGGTCACAAGCCAAAATTTAGCACAAAAAAATGAGCACTCCCAAGAAATGTGTATTCTTTTTATGAAAAATGTTAATTAAAAAACAGTATCCACAAATTGGGATGAAGGACCTTAAAGGTAGAAAGAAGGTAAAACTGACAAAAACGTTTCAGGCAACTAGCCGGAATGCTTTCTTACTATTTTTCAGACACCTCCCCCAAAAAACCACCAACCAACCAATCAAGTTCAAACAAAAAGAACTCAAAACAAAACCAAACAAACAAAAAGAACCCCATTTGGGGTTAAAATTACTATTTATTCCTTACAGAAATGTTTAATTCTGTGAAAAAAATTTTACCTCCAATGGAAAGATCCTTCCATGGGAAATCTCAGTGTTTCTACTGCCTAGTGTCTGATTTGCAGTAGAACCAACCCCTACCTAGACAATGGTTAATTCTTGCTTGATGAGAAAATCACTTCCTTAATTCTTGAATGTATAGTCATAATCTCTGCAATTACTGTGTGCTTGAGTCAAGCTGTGTCCTGTTTTACCTTGTTTTATCCTATCAACTAAAAAATATGAGCTGTTTAAAATTACTTTTTGTATGTCTTCAGCTTCTCTTTGAAACCACAAGAAGGATTTTAGAGAGCTAGAGTCTTCTTTCTCTGAGAAGTTAGCACATTACTTTTTTACTCAAGTGAGAGCTCTGTCTGACCCTCTTAACCACTGCTGTCCCTGTTATATTTGCTATGCATCAAATAAAAATATATAGATTACTTATATCATTTGTTATACATGAAAAAAATCTATTGATCACAATAGAATGCATTTCTAATAAAAATAATATAAAGCTGGGATCACTATGAGGTGTTCTCTGTTTCAGATCTAAAATATTTGTTTCTAAACTGTTCTGTTAATTTAAAAAGAAATTCCCTATGTCTCACAGTGTATCTCTAAAAAATATTAAACTATCTTTCAGGGATTACCAGGAAGTGGAGGACCCAGGGGCAAGCCTGGTTTAGATGGCTACAATGGCTCAAGAGGAGATCCAGGATTTCCAGGCGAAAATGGTTATATTGGACCACGTGGTCCTTATGTAAGTGAAAGGCATTTCTTCTGTCTTTGAATACTGTACATGTGCATTTCATCTCCAAACTAATAGTTCTTAAAATGAAAGGAGTTGAAGACTATGGCACTAGCTTTACACTGCACAATGAATTTCCAAGCATTTTTACTAAGGTTAATGGGAGTGAAGAACATTTGATGCCTTAACAGATTAAGCTTGAATGTGAAATAAGTTCCTATATCCTTGAAGTATGTATGTCTACTTTGAGGGTTAAATTCTGCTTTGTTTCCCCAGTACGTAGCCACACCAAAACTAATGCCATTTCATGGAAGTACAACTGAGGAGTAGCTTGAAATCATTACATCATTTATCAATACTTGAAATTTCTTAAAAGCCTTAATAGTAGGGACATACCTGAGATGAATTAGCAATAAGTGGAAGCTTCAAAAAGTCTAAGTCCTGTAACACTCTAAGATTTTTGGTGGTTGATCACACAAGTGTATTAGTAGAACTCTTCCCAAATCATGCTTTTACACTTTCATGTGCTATTTTGTATACATACCTATTCATGACTGCTCTGTGCACACTTAATCTTGCCTGGGTCTTTACCTGTATAAATAAAGGTCATTTCAGTTAAAATGTTTAAAATTAGCACTTTAATATTATTTACTTTTGTTGTTAAAATGGAAAGCATTTTAAAATTGTTTAAGTAGTGTGTTGGCAGTGCTCTTCTAATGAAGATAAACCACAGATTAATGTCAGTATGGGATATAAATTACTGTCGCTCCAAAGAAATTTTGCTGAACAGACCTAGTCCCTGGTCTTTGACTTCTTGTGAAAACAAGTTCTAGTTCTGAGTGATTAAGAGCTGGTTAGTTGGTCTAAGAGCTTCTCTGAAATTTTCTAAGTAAAACAGTAAAAACAACTGCATTTTACATAAAAAATCAAAAGTGTTTAGTCAAAGCCAAATAAGATGCTGCTTCAGCCATAGGGAATCAAAAAATGTGCACTGGGTGCCAAAGTAAAAAGATGTCATAAAAAATGTATCAAATAGAAAAAAACAATGCATGAAATACACAACCTGATAAAATACCCTGATAATCTTATTATCTGAATTATCTGAAACTGAATTTCAGTTACCTCTGAAAGTAACCTATTCACCCTCCAAACAGAGAAATTACTTCTGTTCAAACTGTAATTTTACCTGTATTTTCTTACTTATTACAGATTTCAAAATAAGAGTTTGCCTTTTTATAATTAGCCAAATGACATAAAAGAAAAGTAAGACATGGGACGAATTATAGCATAAATCCTCTCAACTCCAGGAGCATGCTTTCTGGCAGGCCTAGAAAAGTATTTGCAGCCTACAAAAAATGAGTTACACAATAGGCATATAGCCTTGGATATGCAGACTAAAATTCCAGTGCAAATTAATTTATCTACCCAGAAAAACAAAGACATAGTAAGCATATTTGTTTGTGTATGAGAATACTATTCCAACCGCTCTATGCAGATTTCCTGTTTTTAAATCAATTTGTTGCACCAAGTACCAACTTGACTATATATTACAGCTAACATTTTTCTGTTGCCCCATTTAATTCTACTTAACACTGTGTACATATTCTGCAGCTTCACTTGTAGAGTCTGTACATCTATCTCACCAATAAATTGGAAAAGGAAATAGTTTTATTTGTAAGCACTTAAGTAAGTCATGTAGAAGATAATATGAATCTAATAAAGATGCTTTATTACGCTACAGGTCACATGTAGAATAACCAAATACGACTTTTGATGTGTAATTTGCTCCCTAGTAGTTGTTGTTTGACCTGTAATCCGCATCTGGTCTACTGTAGTTATATCCAGCTGCAGACAGCTGTAACTTTTCTTTTTATTATGTCATTCCAGGGATAAGTACCTTTTCTGTTCCATTCTAACTTCAGGATTTGAGCAGCCAGTATCAGGAAACCAGCACACTAGCACGCTTTTAAAGTGATTAAATTCTGTGAAAAATAGTGTTCCATTTTATTAAAATTAATTAATAATTAATAATTATTGAAATAGTTAAGTGGCTACCTTAGGTAAATTATATTCCATACATTGGATTTCAAATGAGAAAACTTCAGAAGTAATATCTTAGTATATCTGTTCTTCAGGTATGTGCATATGTATCATGCTCTCAACAGTCATTTGAGCATTACAGTTGAATACTGCAAAAGCAATCATTCTGCTAAGTCAGACTGAGGTTGTGAAAACTGGCAAAGTTTTATAAATGATTCCATAGCAAACACCATGGGAACTTAGTTTTTAAATAAACAGGGCCTTTAGGCCTCAGATTTTTATTTGTTTAATAGACTGTGAAACATAGTTCCTAATAGATGGAAATGTTGAGGATTATGCATGTAACACAGTCCATACTTTATCTGCAGTCCATGTATTCATCTTTTTAACTGTATGTAGTATCACACTAGATTCTTTTAAATCACAGCATGATCTTTTGGAGAAGGCAGAGCAAAGTGTTAGTACTTAAAATACTTACTGAAAGAAAAGGTAGGCAAATTAGGATTCTGGAGAAGGACTCTTCATCAGGCAGTCTAGCGATAGGACAAGGGGTAATGGATTTAAACTTAGGAAGTTAAGGTTAGAAATAAGGAAGAAGTTCTTTGCTGTGTAAGGAAGAAGTTCTTTATTGTGAGGGTGGTGAGGCACTGGAGCTGGTTGCCCAAAGAAGCTATAAATGCTCCATCCCCGGCAGTGTCCAAGGCTAGATTGGACAGAGCCTTGGGTGAAATGGTCTAGTGCGAGGTGTCCCTGTCCATGGCAGCCATCATGGAACTAGCTGACCTTAAGGTCCTTTCCAACCCAAACCATTCTATGATACTAAAGGCATACTTGATACTAAAGGCAAGATTTGTGAAGATGGTAGAATATTGAAGTACCTAAGAGCTGAAGAAAATCTAACAAGAGTAGGAGTCGAGAAGCTGTGAGAAGCTGGTTTAGTCAGCTGTAAAGAAGGCAGTTTTACTTTAAGGGTCTTGTGAGGTGAAAGAACTGCAAAAGGGTCATGCATGACTAGTGGATTACCTAGTGGTGTAGGGACACCAGAAAATATAACTTAAGAAATTATCATTCAGTCTCCATAGAAATGTATCATATCAGTAAGTGTGGATCATGTTTTAAAAGACTTTTTTTTTCTTTAAAGGGAAATCTGGGGCAAAAAGGAGAAAAAGGAAATTCAGTGTATGTTTCACATTTTGGAAAAGGACCTCCAGTAAGTATGTGATCGTGAAAAAAATAATATACTGTAGGAAAGCACTTGTGGGAAATGTAATTTTTCCATTACTCCTCATGCTTTAATAAAGCTTTGTGCAAAAAAGAAAGATTAAAAGCAAATGTACAACTGGAACAGATAGCTTGTTACCTTAATAGCTATAAAAAGTTAGAAAATACCCACAAAAGGCTTCTAATGATTCATTTGCAAAATGATTGCTGTTACAGGGAGATAGAGGTGATCCCGGACCCCCTGGCATGCCCGTAAGTACAGTCAGTGGGTTCTATAAATGTTTCTTGTATTGAAGATCTTTAAAATTTTCCTTCTTAGTACAATAACAAAATATTGGGATTTCTCCCTTCCTGCCTTATATAGCAAAATTCCTGAATAAAGTCTAACAAACATGGAGGCCCTGTAGTCTGCCCCCGTGACCAGTTCACACTGACTTAAAAGCAGTAGAAACAGACAACAACCATCTGCATTGAACAGTTGTTGCTCTGGTGCTCACAGTTTGCAAAATATTTTCTCCATTACATTCAGAATGTATAGAGAGGTGACACCTTCTTCAACAGTATCTGGAGGATCTCCCAAGAACACGTAGCATACACTACCATATTTTTGGCCATAAAAACATGTAAGAATAGAGAGTTTAATTTTGTTGCTGACTAACACTGTTTATGACTTTGGGTTCCTCTTCCTATGCTCACTAAAAAATTATTCACTAATGAACTGTATCGAGTCCCCATACTGTAGCACAGTTAACTCTAAAAGTATTCTTTCAATCAATTGATAACATATAACTGTGCATTGTCCAGTATCTGTACAGTGCAATCCAGAAACTGGTGCTGAGCTCTAGTGACAGTGAGGTATAAGAAGGCAGTGACAGACTATAAGCTTCAGACCATGGGTGGAATGCAATGGCTAGTAGACTGAGTCTAGGTGATACAGGCATTTTGGAGGGACTAGTTTTGCGGAGAAAAGGGTAAGCTCTTGGTATTTTCACAAACAGACTTTTTGCCGTCTTTTGCAGGGACCTATAGGATCAAGAGGTACACCGGGCCCGTCTGGATACCCAGGCCAACTAGGCTTGCCTGTAAGATCACCACTGTTATATAGCCTTGCATTTTTAGGACAAGCATAAATTCTGATTACCAATTTTAGAACTTGCCTTAATGTGAATCAAAGCCTAGAAATAATTTATGAGGTAGTTGATAAAAAAATAGATTTTTGCCTTACCTTATGAGTTTGGAAGTTCAGGAGTTGGAGTATATATTTTTCCTTCCCATGCCTGGGTGGACACATTTCATCTGGCAGTCTGTGGTCATGGAGGAATGCTGCTACTGCTTTCTCCTTATCCCCTTTCCCCAAGGCCACCTTGTGGGAGTCAGGAAGTGAAAAATGGGAAGCCAGAGTTCAACCCTCCTAAAAGCAGTGAGCAGGTGAAGTAAATTGAGATTTCCTCATCCTAAGAGGAAGTTCTGCCTCTAGGTGCTGCTGGCAAGAGTGTGCCATTTTCAGAGCAAAGCTGTCTAAATCAGACATACTAACTTGCTTGGTTTCATTCTCTTTTAAAGGGTATTCCGGGTTACCCTGGTTTCCCAGGTGAACAGGTAGGCCATGATTTTCCTGACGTTGTTAGTAAATTAATAGATTAATTTATACAAATATTTGAAATGTCCCTTATGGTTGTTCGTTACTAAGTTTTTCAAATGAGTTATTTGATTAAATTCTAATGTCAGCATTTTCTGGTTATCTTCAACCTGTGTGCTTTTTTGGTCAATTAGGGAAATCCTGGTATTGGAGTGGATGGACAAAAGGGGGAGCAGGTAAGAAAAGAAATATTATTAAATATAGTATTGCTGTAGAATTAGAAGTATAATAGAGCCTTGCTGGGTTTCCTGGAACCCATTCATGTGCACCTGTGTGCTCCCACTAATCATTTAATGTCTGCATTATGACCTTAAAGAGCACAGGTTTTGAGTGTTCTATTAAGAGATCAATGGCTACTTCATGCTAAGGCCAATTTTGAAACAATGTTTTCTAGACAAAAATAATGGACAGGAAGTGTTTTGAGTAACAAATAACTTTTTTTTGTTTTATTACCTAATTCTGGAAGTTGTGATTTTTCCTCGTTTTAATTCATTCCAGAGGATAGTGAATAGAGATTCTTCTGCAGAAAGTTTTTATGTCTATATTACCTCAGAAATTATTATTAACCATGTAATAGAGAAGTTGCATCTACCCTGCTTTTAAAAAAAAAAATCCGAATTATTGAAAAATTGCCCAGGAAGGTTGTGAATGCTCCATCCCTGGCAGTGTTCAAGACCAGGTTGGACGAAGCTTTGGGTGACATGGTTTAGTGTGAGGTATCCCTGCCCATGGGAGGGGGTTGGAACTAGATGATCTTAAGGTCCTTTCCAACCCTAACTATTCTATGATTCTGTTAGAATGGAAGGAGAAGTAAAGTAAGTTATTGAATCAATTAATTCCGTGCAGAAGTGATTTCTTCAGTAAGCTGCATCAATCAAGGGTCTTCTGGAGGTTTTGAAAAGCAACAATCAATATGTTAGTTAGCATTTATATAGCAATTACCTTCTGTACAGGCACTGCCTAAATAATCAGAACACAACAGTACCCTCCAGTAACAGCGGCTGTACTAGAGCAATCACTGAATTTCATCTCTTGCTATGTCCAGCAACAGATACTAAGGAAAGGGTTAAGAAAAGAAGCACATAGTAATGCACATAGTAATAGTTCCTTTCCCAGTTTCTGCCTATTAGTGTACTCAGGACTTACAGAACTAATGAGGAATATTTGATTTTTCTTCTATGAATTTGTCCAGTGACAACATGGAATTTATGCAAGTTTCTAACATGCACGCCTCCCATAGCAAATCACTAATTTCATCTTTACATTCACAAAGCCTTGTGCTGAACGGCTTCACTTGGAAACATGGAGACTGTGTGCACACAAGAGATTTGCCAATCCTGTGACTATCTCCACAGCAGACTCAGGCCATGAGTACAGAGTTCTCATCTATCTCTTTAGCCATAATGTTACTTTAATGGTTGAAGAGAATAGGAGGGGATTAGGATTGTCAAACTTGCTTGTGTGGGAAGACAGTAAAAAGCCTTACAAATGGCAATACAAACCTTTTATCTACAGTTATTAGTACAAGAACTTGTTCAATGAATACTGACATGTAATGCTGTAGTACATTAGGAAGACATGCTGAGTCCCATTGAAACATATGGAGGAAAATGTCTCTCTGCTGTTCCTTTGACTTCCACAGGGTGACATTGGACTTCCTGGGCCACCTGGGTCACCACTGTTGGTTGGACCTCCTGGAGCTCAGCTCTTCAAAGGAGAAAAGGTGTTGTTTTCATATTTAACTGTGCTCAACTTGGCAAGTACAATCCTGTGATGTCATTTTTGCAAGGATTGCATAATACAAATCTTTCTGTAAGAAGCCATCAGCTTCAGCAGAAATCAATCCTGTTGTTCAGCACCCTTCCTACAGGCTTTCAGAAAGGAGAGCCCATGTGTACTTCAGCTCATGTCCCTTAGGGAAGACTGTCTTGATGCAGAAAGGAGCTACACTGCCCTTGCACTGGTTTCCTTCACTTTTTGTCATTAGCAAATCATATTTGAGGCATCTCAGGTAAAATTAGTTACTCTACTATTGAATCTCTTCTGTGGCCCTTCACTAACACATATTTTGCAGATCTTTGGCAATTATTCTCTTTGAAATTTCTCCCGTGTGATGTTTTGAACTATCAACTCTAACTCTTCTAGGCTGCTTTTTTAATCTGAAAATTAATTGTGATTTTGTTGTCTAATGCACGTTTCTGTTATTTACTGTAGTACTTCAATATCATGCCTACTGTAGCCACAATTGTGTACCTTAAAACATTATAATGTTCCTTTTAAAAGAACAGGACTTATAAAAACTGCATTATGGAGCCCTATATTGAAGTCTCTTTGTCCTCAAGTCTGATTTGCTCGAATACACAAATTTTAAGGTGAATTTGGCATTTCCAACCCCTACAGCTTCAACTCAGGGAACTGACAAATTTAAGATACTCAATTTTAGGCTTAGACTATGCAAATTATTGCTATGTACAGATGTATGAGGATGAGGAAAAGGACCAAAATAATTTATGCAAACTCTCCATATTACTGCCAAGTGTGATATATGCTGCTGTGCAACACATGATGTGATCATGGCTATGTAGCCAACTATGCATCCCATTCAGATTCGGGCAGTGCACAAACATGTAGATTTATGAATGTGAATACTTGCATCAAACTAAATAGAGTAA